GTGACATGCCTCCTAACCATCTACTAATACATATAACAAGATGTATGGGTAGACCTTGAAGGAGAGAAAGGATCAGCTAATGGAAGATAAGTCCGCAAACGGCTGGCCCCCTTGGAATGGCTGAAGAATGTATCAGAGGGCAACACCACTAGTAAGCTGGAAGCAATAACCATGGAAAGCCTACAGATTGTCAACGTCCAGAAGAGACTCATCCGCAGTAATTTCATCGTACCAAGTATAGTTTCGGTAATCCTCAATTACGCCACCATTTTTTCTTTTTGGGTTATTTACTCAATCATTTTCCTGTTGAGTTTTAAATTAATTGGTGGTGGGAACACTACAGGATTCAGATGGGAATTGGCAGGTTGAAGGCATGGCGACCTTAATTGACTGTGTAGCAGGCGCCGGCCGCGCCGCCATTCGCACCACCACAGTTGGCCATATCAATGTCAACCTTGACTTCAGCATTTCATACCATTCAACCGCCAAGATTCAGGTCAGTACAGTACTCTTGAAATTTGTGGACATGTATATATATATAGGGTGTCTTGCCTTACAGTCGGCCTTATGGTGGATTGCAAGATCAGGACCATCAAAAGGGAGAGAGGAGGGCCCAATATCAGGGGGTCCTTCCCCTTTCATGGTCTTGATCTTACAGTCCGTCATAGGATGAATTACAAGACAATTTTTTTTTATATATATATTTATAGGAAATAGAGATAGTATTAAACAAATAAAATTGAAATTATATTGCGATATACATAGTCAAAGTAGGAATATATCCTATAGCATTAAATATAGACTTAAACTATGCCCATGACAAATATAAACAGTTGAGTATAGAGAGAACCATCTGAATCTAGAGATTACATTAGTCATCGTTATAGAAGCATAACCAAAGCTACTAACATAGAAATCCCTATGAGTATCTTGTGCAACTAGACATTTTCAATTGCTTTGCTAGTTTCTTGAGGAGAGCAAGTTTTAAGCTATATATTAATAGTCCCCTCTCATTGATAGCCGTAACCCATCAAGCCACAACAACCATATGCTTTTGGATCCAGTGACAAAAGAAGCAGTAGAAAAAGAAAAGAAAAGAGGCTTCATAAGAGGAGGAAACTCAATGGGAGGGCCTGTAACATGGTTAGGTCTTTTTTTTTTCAATTGGGTACAAGAGAAAGTAAGAGGAGTGTGGAGTGGGGGGTGGGAACGGAACCGGTGGCCTCACGCTAGTTTTTTTTTTTTTTTTTGGTGGACATATTTTAAATAAACATATGGTCTTGTAATAAAGTTGATTTGATATTGGTAAAATTTCAAATTTAGTTCTTAATTTTAAATAATTTTAGTTCTAATTATCTTTTGTACCCTTTTCCTTTCTCAATTATGAAAAATGTAATTTGTTTTTATCCTTCCATTAGTTTTGTCTATTAAATGTGTCTAACTAACATTTTTTTAATTAATTTCTTTTAATTTTTTAAAAACCTAAATATGCATAAAACAAAAGTTTAGTACTAAAATAAGCAACAAATATTAGTTTAGGGATAAAATTGTGGATAAAACAAAAATTCAAAGACCAAAATGAACAAAACAGACAAAATGACAAAAAAAGGGTATTTTCAGAATAGAGAGAAAAAAGCATAAAAAATAGTTACGGACTGGGGGCCTCTAGCTTTCTCATGCTAGGTTTAGGTTTTTTTTTTTTTTTAAATTTGTGGACATAATTTGAATAAACATACGGTCTGGCAATAAAGTTGATTTGATATAGGTAAAATTGCAAATTTAATTTCTATAGGTGTTAGAGATATTCACTAAGAGAGGAATACAAATTCATGAATTCCTTACAAGAATCGAAGAGAGCTGGAGAAGTCGAAAACTGATTTGAGCTGCCCATGAACTTGCTGGGAATTTCCCCTGATTCTTTTTCAGCCATAAGGCCAACTGTATCTGGACATCAAAAATAAAACTCTAAAGGATCAATTCTGCTCTGATACCATGAGGAAAAGTAATGTTCTTGTATATATTTTTTTAGGACAATGATTGATGCACACCCGAATCCAACACCTGGGTGTACACACATCATAAAAAAAAAAA